TTTCTGCTTAAAGTATAACCAGCTTTCTCAAAATTTCTTAGATCGTGGTTCTTCACAAATTGGTTCAAATAAACGGTAAAAAATGTGGTCACGTGACCACAATATTTACATTAAATTTACATAATTATTTATATTAATAATAGGTGCTCAATTTAAGTCTATGCTGAACGTTTTCAACCTCAATTTATTTCCTTTCCTGAAGTCTTTCAATGCACGTTGAGAATGGTTGGCTAAAGTTTYGTGTTAAGGAGATATTTTACAAAACAGGTCACGTGACTTGTCAAACTATCTTTTATGCCCATTTTTCTCCTTTCGTAAACATTAAGGTCGACCATTCCAAACGTGGATATCTGTATCTTTGTCGCTTCTTTCAAACAAACTAAAGAAATCTCACAAATAATCTAAATCCATCGCCTAGTTTTTAGTTTAGCATTTTCCCTCTTTTGAGGTCACGTAACCACCTTTTATGTAAAATTATCCATCCAAAACGTTAAGCAAACGAAATAAGGATAACTGTTGCAATCTCATTCATTTATATCTAAAAATGAATAATCTATAGTGAAAAGTGATTTTTGCACTTTTGTACAAAATCCCAGGCCTTAACATGCTTGAGAACTCCATCTATCCATTCAACCTTCCTTCTCTTCTCTTATTGTCCCTCTCTCTTTGTCCCTCTTAACATCCATTCAGTTGTGGATCCATAAATCCAACCACCCATCTCTGCTTTGCTATTCCATAACTCCCCCTCGCCATTCAACCATCCAACCCTTTCCTGGACCTCCTACAATGCACACATCCATCCCTCCACTCAACTATCCATTCATCGTTTTTTTCATTCTAGATTGTAATCATCTAATTCTACTTCCCCTTCTCAGTCCACCAATCTATCTATCTTTTATTATATAAGTACTGAGATTTAGATGTTCACAAGCTATTTGATAAAAATCATATCACAAAAACGAGAAGCGATCCTATTGGCTATACATTTTTATTCACTAGTGAAGAACATCGTATCAGCACTGTGATTGGCCATACGATATTTTTCACTAGTGAAAAAAATCGTATTGAGTTTTCCCGCGTTTCATGAAGAAAGTTGTCAGCTTGCTTTTGAGTGTTTGTTGTCAAACGTTCTTAAACATGGAAGGTTGTTGCTTAAGATTTGCTCAAATCGACTCAATCACTAGGAAAGGAAAACGAAAACACTAGAAAAAAGACACAGAACGATGCACTCCTAAGGGAATTTTTACAAACAAAAGGAGAGACGATTGCTATAGAAAGATTCCTGCGAAAGGACTCAACGAATACCTCAGCGAATTAGTCCTCGGTGTCCGTAAGAAAGAACCAGCCAAAGAAAACTACGAACCAAGTTCTCTACGGGCTTTTATAGTTTGTTTTGAATCTAAAGAAGAAAAATCATGGGGTGAGCATCATCAAAGACGCTGACTTTGAACAGACAAGAGAAGCTTTGCAATCAAAGCAACGAGAACTCAAACAGAAAGGAAAATGAAGTAATATATTTACACAAATCTGATCTAAGTATACTTATATTTAGAAGTTTATCACACTATTAGAAAGAGACATTTCTATTTCAGTTAACCAATTGTTCGAGATCAAATAATTTTCTCTCTCAACTCCAATTTCAAAAAATCTTTACTTGTAATATCTCAGTACTTATAAAATAAATAAATTACATCATGGTTAGTTCTCTTGTACGGTTTTTATTCACTCGTTGTGAAGAATCAAACTCACTCGCTCGAATAATCGCTCGTTCGTTTGATTCTTCACAACTCGAGAATAAAAACCGTACGTGCTCACTGACCATGAAGTAATCTCTATATTTATACCATATATAACTGTACAAATAGCATAAAATATAAATGTATACATTTGACAGTATAGTATATTATTTGACAATTGACAGGATCAGGATCCCCAGCCAGGATATACCAGTAGAGGGTACCCAGTGGAGCAACCGGTATCACAGAGCGACTAAGATACTTTCCTGCACCCACCCAGACTTTCTAATTGTTTGAATTGGTTAAATGTCAAACACTATTACAAGGTCAATATTTTAACATATACAAAGTCAATATTTATAGTATTTTAAGAACTGCTGAATCAAGGGGGTTAGCCTTAGTTTAGCGTCAGAATATTCACAAATACCAATGGTAAAGTAAAGAATTCACAACTCGACAATACAAACACTTGAAATTCTACCAACCTTTACTGGAAACATGAATATTCTACACGAAAAAACGGCTAGCCCTGAAAACAGAGAGTACGCAGAAGATATATAGTCTAGAAAACAGTTGTATATATTTATTAAGATAAAAGTTAAGAAGAGGTCAAACCGGCGACAAATTATAAATAAATTGGCTATTTCTTTAAAARAAGTATCCATGGTTAACATAATTAGTAAAGGATAATAAAAATATTCATAAAGTCATACTGTAAAAATAAATCAGGTTTTGGCAAAACTTTTGAATATTTTTGTAACTTTATCAACGTATTTGTTGTTATTCAAGTTTTGCATACACACGCTACTTACTAAAGTATACAACGAAAGAAAAAGAAGAAGAAAAAAATGAAAAAATAAAAATAAAAATAAATCGCTCTCTCCATGGCTGTTATATGAACGCGCTTGCTCCTCCATGACCCCTTCTTCACGCAATCTTCCTTGCTCCCTAAATGTCAAACATTGAGACCACACGATCTTGAAAGCTACAAAGACCTATCTTTAATGACGTCATTGCTTGAATTAACTTGTATTCTTGAAATAATTTGGGCTTAGACAAATAAGAAAAATTCAAAACGACGTCAAGATAGTCAGGCTGCAAAATTAAGATCAAAATAGTGGATGTAATCAAGAAAAGAGGGTCGTAAAGAAGTTAAAAAATTGCTTCAGTTATGTATAATTTTAGACTTGAGTTTCTCGCGCTGTGATAATATTAGAGCGACCAGTGATTCCTAGACGATAATCACTGCCTCCAGCAGTAATTGTGAGGTTCTCCAACATATGCCTAATCAAAAATAGTACTAAAAACGTTTTTCTTTTTTGTTATCATGAAATATTAAAATACAAAATAGTGGCCAACGTCTTCCCCTAAAACAGCCTGCCATTGCAGTGCAATGCAACTCGAACCAGTTTTTTTTCGCAACCTCGAAATGACTTATATAGATGAGCTTCTTGAGTACAAACTGGATTCAAATCTCAAAGTTATATCTCGAGTAGTTTTACATTTTTTTATCTCGAGTAATTTTCAAATTCTGAAAAAAATGAAGCAAAGTATTTAAATAAAAATATCAGTAAATCTAGTCGGCAAGTGTTAATACTAATTATCTCTTTTCTGGTAAAATATCCTAGAAACACAATTTTTCGTTTATTTTTTTGGTTAAAATATCAAAACTACCTTTGAATTATGCAGTTTGGTATTGCTCTTTCTCGAACGGATTATATTAATGAATCATGACGTAGTTTATATTCACCTCAGTTTTCTCAAGCTTTCAAGTGCTAATCTTGAAAAACATTAACGAATTAGGGGATTCCCCAAACTTGAAAGACAAAGACAAAGAAAGGAAAAGACAAATACCGTTTGACCTTTGAGGTCATTATTGACGTCTGGGAAGTTAAGGGGGGGGGGTGGTAGGGGAGGAATGTGGAAAGACTAATTACTATGCGGAAACACTAACCGGGACCACTTGGTCAAAGATTTAAAAAATCTAGCCAATCAGAAGCAAACAAAACCAGTATCTCATTGGCACAGCTCAGCCAATCACAATCACTCATTTCCACGGTTAGTGAAAAAAATGTATCCCCACCCCTCCCCCCCCCCTTTCTCCTCCTCAGATTTTTAGACTTAGTTCTTTGCTCCTGATAGGATCAAGGTAGTTAA